AAATTTATTAGTGTATTATATGTCTCTTTTAATAATTTCGGTGAGTGTTGTAAGGAAATTGAAAGCAATCCAATGCATATTTCTTTGGGATGACTAGGAAGAGAAAGTGAGATATCATTTGGTGGCGTGGGACGTTCTCAAAGGCATTTGCATCAAGGAGTGTTAGGGTTGAGATCTATTGCTGAAATGAATCAGGCTCTTCAAGGTAAGTGGATTTGGAGGTTGTGAATGAGTGGCACTTTGTGGCATAGGGTTATTGAAGCACAGTTGGGACAAGGGGGAGGGACTATTTTCTAGAGATGTGACAAGACCGCATCGGACAGGTGTTCGAAAAAAATATGCATGGGAAGAGAGTTTTCAGCAGTGTATTAAATGGAGGGTGGGTAATGGGGAGACAACTAGTTTTTGGATGGATTCTTGGCTCAGAGAGGAAATGCTCTAGGATAGATTTCTGCAGATTTATAGTATGGTACAATTCAAGAATATTATAGTAAAGGATGCATTTAGCGTAGCAGGGGATAAGAGGGAGTAGTATGTGGAAGTTCTAAGGAATTTTTATGACTGGGAGGTGTATGATTATCAGTCCTTTTTGGGATCGTTTTCTTCTATAGCTCTGGTGGAGAGTGATGACCAGCCTATTTGGACTCTTAATCCAAATGGGTCCTTTTATGTTGGGTCATTCTATAAATATTTGATTGAGGATGATGATGTAGAGGATAAATTCATGACTCTGCCTAGAATTGCATTTCTTGTTTGGGAAGTTGGGAGTGGACATATTTTGACAATGGATATGTTAATAAGAAGAGGCAAGATTATGGTCAACAGTTGTTATCTTTGTAAGATGACAGAGGAGACTCGCGATCATATTCTCCACTGATGTCCTCTAGCGATCAAGTTATGGAATACGGTGTTGGGGATTTTGGGTGTTAATTGGGCAACGGCGGACAGTGTGAGGGATGCGTTATAGGCATTGAAGGGGGTGAGTGATAGGAAAAAACAATTGGGTCTCATTATTCTTACAATATTTTGAGTGGTGTGGAAAGAAATAAACAGAAGGGTTTTTGAAGGGGTGGAAGGAGGATTTGATAGGGTTAGGGATAGGTGGTATCAATTTTTGGGTTATCTGGTTACCTGTAACTCTTTATTCTCTATGGAGAATTTTGTTAACCTTATCAAAATCCTTATTGATATGTAATATCTTTTGCATATGGGTCGACACCCTCTTGGTGCTTATTTTTAAAGAATATAAGTTACATTTTTTTATCTTAAAAAAAAAAAAGAGTTTGGAATGAGAAATGATAGTGAGGAAGCTTCTTTTATGTTTTTAATTTTCAATTTTTATGTTAAAAAATCAAACTAGTTTTACATGCTTGATACCATGTAAAAATTTACCCAACCTGAAACAACCATATGTTCTACTTGCTTTCACGTAATAAATCTACTAACGGTGTTAATGACATTTAATAGAGAAATGTTTTCAAAGTAAAGAGACCAAAAGAGTAAAAGATTAGTATAGAAACCAATCAAATATTTAAAAATAACATGGAACCAACTTAGTCTTTAGATCTAAAATTATGTGTATCCCTCCTTAATAAAAGTATTAACACTAATAAGATTTGGAAAAAGAAACAAACAATAATAACCTAAGTAAATTACTATTATGTCTATAGGCCATAACAAGCTAAGAGGAATACCACGCCCAGTTATTGTTGGTCCTTCTGGCAAACGCGAGCCTGAATTTGAAAATCCAAAACAAGCGTCCGCAAGCAACCATGCCTGAAAATCAGAGGCTGGGAACCTGGACTATGCTCCAAGACAGGCAAGTCTTCTCAGACCACTAGAAAAGGCACGTCCTCAAACATTATCTATTATATTTATTTCTGTTTTCTGCAAACCTCTTTCTGATTTAGGTTATCCTTTGTAACCTTTGGTTCTCATCTGTCTCATAGTTTTTCTATATTTGTCTTGATGATATCTTTTCTTGGATGCGTGCTTTGAATAAAGTTTTAGGAATTGGTTATTTGGGATATACGGGTCATAATTATATGATGATAAAGGTGAAGGTTATTGCTCTATGGGTAATAGATGTGCTTTTATCCAAGCTATTCAGTGGCAATCTCCAAAAGTTTTTCATTTTACAGTATAAAACTTTAATTTATCTTGGACATTTGGTGATTCTAGATACATATTGTTCACTAGAATGCAGATATTTACAGTGAATAACAAATGAACCTCAAGTACTTAGAAACAAGTGATAGGGAAACCTCGTACTTTTCTGGGGCCTTTCTCGAGTGTTTTTTAGAAAGATTTCAGATTGGAGTTATCTTCTCCAATATTTCAATACAAATACACTCTGCCAAAGTTGGAGACCCTGCAATTCAAGAGGTTTCTATAACGATGATGCCAGGGAGCAACAATAGACATTTATAATAATTGGGGTTTCAAATTGAGAACTTTAATTCAAATAATCGAATCAATTACAGATCCAACGGTAAAACATTAGCAGAAAAACAATTTAGACAGTTGTATAGGAAAAGATTGAGAGGGGAGAAATAAGAACCTGGATTGAGATTGTAAAAAATAACAAATGGAATATAACCCGATGTTGTTCCTCTCTCTGTATCTTGGTAGTTTGTTTTGCAATATCTCTCTCTATGAATCGTAGTGTATCACTGGTATTAGAGCCGGTCTAGTCTTCGGAGAACCTTGGACAATACTTGAGCCCAAGAATGTAAGAAGATTGGATCATGATATGGGAAAGCAATGATACCACAAACATGGAAAAAATGAAGAAAAGAAGACACAACAAATTAAACAAGTAGGAGGGATTCTTTATTTATTTATTTATTTATTCCTGGTAATGGAGCTCCTTGTTGGAAAGAAACTGAAAGGAAAAGTCAAAATCCTCCTTTCTCAACTTGAACAGTTTAACACTCAGAACTTGAACTTTGACATAAAATAGCTGTTTTTTTTTTTTTTTAATTAAAAATTAGAATGCGTTCCATGAGACTTTTATAACTAATTTTAATTGTAAAAATAGTTTATGATTTTAGACTTTTTCTTTTTGAAAAAATAGTTCTAATCTTTTGAATTTTTTGTAATTAAGTTATTGACTATTCGACTATATTATCACCGTATATACAGCAATAATGTGAATTAATACGATAAGTTTAAAATTTTCTTATAATTTAAAATCTTTTAAATACTTATTCAAACTTCTATAAATTTAATTTGTGTGGAAAATAATACGTACTTGAAAGAAAAAAAATAAATGTGAGGGTGTGAATTTTAGCAATTAAATTATTCAGTGTTAAAAAGATTTAAAAAATGAACAAAGTGATATGATGATTTATCAATAAAAAATTAAAGGTCAAAACAAAACATTGAGGGCAGCATAATTATTCCTCAGTTTCAAGCAAATTCCAAGTTTACATTACATTGTGATTATGTTTAATGGGAAAATAAATCTATTTTGGTTTTATTTAAATTGTACGTATGCTTTTTTAAGCTCTCAATGTAGATGGCAATGTTATGCAAGAGACGGTTCAACAATCCCGCAGCAGTAAGATGGCTTAACTCAGTTTACTCTCATTAGTATTATTCATTTTTAAATCGTATAATAAATAACCTCAAACTTCAAAATTTTATAGTATCATATATATATATATATATGGGATTGATAAATAAATAATATTTTTTTAGCTCTAATCTCTCATGTCATACTTGAGATATTAAATTTTTATTAAAGTTACGTAATTTATTTAAAATATTATATCTTAATGTTAATCTTTTTATTTATACGATGATATTATTCTTTTTTATTATTTAAATTAATCTATTTTTATAAAATAAAAACTCTGATAAAAAAATATTTTTATTTTATTTTACCAAAACTCTGGCCATATTGTTGTCAAATTTACCCATAAACTCAATAAGTAATCTAAGAGTTGTATTAGCAAAATAAATTTTACACATTCCAACACTATAATACTATTAAAAATTATTCAATATATTACATTCGTTAGAGTTAAGTATATATTATTACTTATAAGAATTGACCATCCTATCTCTAAATGAAAACTTTTTTTATGAGATAAAATCTTAAAAAATAATATTCTATCTAGATCCGAAAAAATTCTTTAACGTGAACTAGTACTTTTTTTTTAATATTGAAAAAAATATGTAATAATTATAAATTAAATAAAATTGTAATCCCATAAATATATTAATAATTATTATTTTAATTTAGAAAAGAACTTGGTGTAAATGATTCTTTTTACCCTCCTTACTTCCTTTTATTAATTGCTTTGTCCATACGAATACCTTTTAATGTAGACATCAAAATTATTTAAAAGCCCCTTTATTAATAATTATAATGGACAGTCAACGGTATCCATACATTTTCCAGATTAATTTATTAATGGGACATATATGGCTGTTTGGAGATAATTATAAAATAGTAAACATAAATTATAATTTTATTTTATATGATTTAGTTTTACTATAATCTAAATTTATTTTCTTGTAGAAAATGAGTAGTCTGTATTTTAACTTCATCATTTCATATAAACTAAACCAGTACACGTCTAAACTATAAATATAAATATGTAATTCTCAAAATATACATATATAGAAGCACGTAAATATTTAAAGTCATATAAATTAAAATTTAAGGGATAGAAAATAATAATCTTAAATTTTATTAATGTTACATGCAGAATGATAATAGTAATAATAATAATAATAACAACATAAAAAGAAGTATTAGATTTGATGGGGACACATATAAAGTTAAATACTTGGCATTATATTATATATCTTTTTCTTTAAACAATGATTAATCAACCAACAAATTAAGTGCTAGTGGGTTTGCCGTGACATAACAAATGTGAATAATTAAAACATATGAATTAAATTAAATTAAATTAATTAATTAGCAAGCTAGTATTTGCCGCCAAACACGCCGTCGCTGAGGTCACAGCCGACAGAGACGCCTTTGAGGGAGAAACAATGGCTTATTCAACAACAGTACCCTTATAATTATATATGCACATCTTCCCTTCTTGGTCAACGGTCAGAATCGCTGGCTCTATCTATATATTTCTTATACCTATATATACAATATATAAATGTACATATTTCCATTTATAACATCTGAACGACCCTTGTCTATTTTCATCTCCTAAATTCTCTGTACGTAGAGCTCATCTTAGTTGTCAATTCTTTTCTTCTCCTTCTTCTTCTTCTTTTTCGGGTACACAGAATAGATTACTCATCCAAAAGCTGCCATGAATTCTGCAAAGTCGAACGACGAACATGGGAATCACGGCCAGGAATCTGCAAAGAAAGAGATGATGATAAACGGGTCATCACGTCCTTCTCCATTGAAGATCCACAAAGAGTCCCGTTTGATTCAGAAACAACAACACAGACAACCTGTTATCATTTACGCTCATTCACCTAAAGTCATACACACCCAAGCTCGAGATTTCATGGCTCTGGTTCAGAGACTCACCGGCCTCGACAAGACCACCTCCGACGAGAACGATTCTTCCTCCGTGCTCACAGACGAAAACTCCGCCGCAACTAATATTAACAGCGCTGCGGCTGCAACTGCGGCCACTGTAATGAGCTCCTCGTCGTCTTCGTCTCCTTCTCAGGTTATGAACACGACGAATAATAATAATCAACATAATCATATTCCGATATTTACTCCGAATTCGTCAGATTTGTTCTGCTCTCCACGCCCTGTTTTCAGATTTTCTGAGACGTCGACGATTGCTAATTCATTGTCTCCTTCCTTTTTGGAGTTCATGAAAGGATTACCAGATTATTAACACTATGTATATATCTAAGTATACATATATACATGTCTGATCAGGAGCTATCATTCTATTGATTTGCATCTTTGTAATTGTTTATACTTATAGATAGGGTTGCGTATTTTCAGTGTAATTTGTGAGGGTGATGGGATAGAGGTTGTTTACTGAACAAAATGTTAACTAATTGTCATTAAATTGAAAAGTTTAATTCATTCTTTTTGTTACAATTCATGATCATGATCTCTTTGATTAAGCTTGGTGTCTTGATAGTTAATTAATTGATTCCTTTTTTTTTTTTTTTTCTTTTGTATACTATGTATAGTAATTATTATTCATAATTTAAAGTGGTATTTCTGGCTAATATACTGATTTATTGAGATTTATAACAATTTAATTATTTAAAAGTCAACATGTCAAAACAATATTGTACATGGTTTCATGTTTTCAAAAATTATATAGAATGCTGAGAAAAGAGTATATGACCTACCAAATACTATCTCAAGTACTTGTTATAATACAAAACTATCCCATTATATCATAGCCTTCTTTTGTCATATTGGTCGGAATACATCCTATTACTCTATTGTGATTAATCACCTAAATAATTTTACATTGTCATTTATAGACAATCTATAAGCTATATACTTATTTGACTTGTGAATATAATGCATTCAATTATGTTACTAAGAATAGTCTTTATTCTCTATTTGAATCTTATCCTCTTAACTCAAATCACTTTCTTAGACATGTTTTCACCAACAACAGTATTAATGCTCAATAGAAATCTTATGGATATACATATGTATTATAAGACATTTATTTATTTATTTTTTTTTAAAAAAAATTATCTCAAAAGAATTATATTGTCATCATTATTTCTGTTACATATCTATATATTAAGACTCAGTCGTGTCCCTCAAATTCATTTCTTACTTAAGTTGAATCCCAAACATAGTCCAGAACTCTAAATCCGATCAAAACATACCTAGACTAACCCAACAACGGCCCTGAAAAAAAAAAATAAAAGCCCATACCATGCCTCTGATTCCCGATACATCGTTGTTTAAGAAACTTCTTTTTCTTCCCCGTTCAGCTCCCAAAATTGAAGGCAGAGAGATGTTAGGTTTTCTTTCGACAAAACGGAGTAGAGGTGGTGCGATGGAGATGATCAGCTAATAATTTTGATGATTGATTGATGATGATCTAGTAAGGTGTCTGCATATGGACTGGGTAGTTGCAGAGCAGAGAAAGAAGAATGGGAGCCACACTGAGAGGAATGAAGTCAAAATTTTATAAAATAGAAAAGGGAGGGAGAGAGGGCCAGCTTGGGGAAAAGACAAATAATACGTGTGCGAGTCTAGAAATTTGATGTAAATGCTTACTGAACAAAGGCCGTGAAAGGAGGATAAGAAAAGGAACTCTCTATAGGAAGCTAAAGAGTAGGGCAAGCCGAAGGGAAGTCAGTCCTACGAATGAGAGAGAACGGGATAGAGATGAAGATAATAGAGGCTGTTTGTGTGTCTTTTGTACGGAAAATGAAGAGTAAATTTAGGAAATGATTAGAAGGATTTAGAGACACATACAAGAGGACAGAGAAATCGGATCCGAAAGTCCTATGAATGGGAGAGGACGAGAAGCGGAAGAACAGGGCGATGATATTCATTACCTAATGAGGCACTGATTCATTAATCATTAGTAACTGTAGCTTGCAAGAAGTTTCAGGATTTGTGCTTGGCGTCTTGATCTTTTGAGTTTGGATGTCAAATTTGATTCCTTACCCCTTGTCAAATGATGGAAACATTCAGATTTGCTGGGATGAGTGTGGTTAGTTTTTTGTTCTCATCAAAGTATCTTTAAGATTATTCAGGAAATCAAATATGAACTGTTACATGTTACATGGAAGTGAACCTTTGCAAATGACGATTGACTTTTAGGTGGAATATGAACTTACATGGAAATGACTGTGAATGTCATTTTACTACACTTAATTATGAAGGCTCATCTTATTTTTGGAAGTACTTTTTTTGAGATAGTCACAACTTCTTGCATTTTGTATCGCGAGTGATTTTTATTTTATGCCAAGAATGTGTTGTGTTTGCTCTAAGTCTTTCATTGCAAAAGATCTACTCAGCTCTTTTTTCAAGCTATCAATTCTAGAAGAATCAAAATCCTCAATGAGCATATCATCAATATATAGCAACAGGATGATAAAATCATTATCAAAAAATATCTGCATAAAAATACAATGATCAAAAGTAGCCTTCTTGTAGCCTTGTTGAACCATAATTGACTCAAACTTCTTATACTATTTTCTAGGTGCTTGTTTCAATCCATATATATTATTTCTCAATTTACAAACATAATTTTCTTTTCTTTTCACCATAAAACCTTCAGGTTGTTCCATATAGATTTCCTCCTCTAAGTCACTGTAAGGAATGCTATTTTAATATTTATTTGCTCAACTTCTAAATCAAGACTAGCAGCTAACCCCAAAATAACACGAATTGATAACATCTTGATGACTAGTGAGAAAATCTCTTCAAAATCAACTCCCCTTTTTTGATCGAAGCCTTAGACAACTAATCTGACTTCGTATCGTGGAGATTTGGAATTCTCTTATTGCTTCACTCAATAGACCCACCTATTTTTCATGACTTTTCTATCTTTAAGAAGTTTCACCAATTCAAATGTGTGATTATCAGTTAAAGACTGCATTTCATCTTTCATAGCTACAATCCATTCAACCGTTTGCTCACTCTCAATTGCCTCTTCATAACATTCATGTTCTTCTTCATCTATCAAAAGTATGTACTCATTAGGTGAATACTAGTAGAATGTGTTTGATCTCTAGTAGACTTTCTAAGTGGAACTTCAAGTTCCTCAACATGTGTTTCTTGTTGAACATCAACTGCTTCATATTCAGGAGCACCAATCTCATCTGTATTATGATTGTTATTTTGTACATCATGATTCTGAACTTCAACTGCATTAGGCATATGAGTTGTAGAAGATGGGTCTAAGTCAATCAAACCACCAATATGAGACTTTGATTTCTCCACCTTATTAATATCTTCAATAGTCTGATATTTTACAAAGATTATATCACGACTTCTGATAACTTTCTTTTGAACTGCGTTATAGTATCTGTAACCAAACTCATCTTGCCCATAGCCAATGAAAGTACATTGCCTAGTCTTGGCATCTAACTTGGATCTCTCATCTTTGAGAACATGCACAAAACATTTGCAACCAAATATTCATAGGTGTTCATAGGAAACATCTCTACCATACCAGAACCTATTAGGAACATCATTTTCCAATGCAACAGTAGGAGTTAAATTGATCACATGTGTGACAGTATACAAAGCTTCACCCTAAAAAGAGTTAGACAATTTAGCTTCTGAAAGCACACATATGATTTTCTCCATCAATGTTCTGTTCATCCTTTCTGCCAGCCCATTTAATTGAGGAGTTTTAAGAGGTGTCTTCTTATGTCTAATACCCTGTTCTCTGCAATATGCATCAAAAGGCCAACAATACTCACTATCATTATCAATGCGAATACATTTCAACTTCTTTTCAGTTTCTTTCTTAGCAGAAGCTTGAAATTCTTTAAATGCACAAAGCACCTAATTTTTTAACTTTAAGGTACGAACCCAAAGTTTTCTTGAATGATCATCAATAAAGGTAACAAAGTAAAGTGCACCACTGAATGACTTATCTTTCAAAGAAACACATATATCTGAATGTACTAGCTCAAGCAAATCATCTTTCCTAGATGAAGAATGATGTTTATAAGAAACCCTCTTTTGTTTCCCAGCCAAACAATGAGTACACATGTCTAACCTTACACCTTTTAATCCTGAAAGTAAATTCCTTTTAGCTAGACAATCAAGTTCCTTCTCACTAATATGACTCAATCTCTTGTGCCATAATTATAAAGAGCTATCACCTTTAACTGCATTAACAAGATCTGTAGAAATTGAAGCTTGCAACCAATATAAGCCCGAAGCCTTCTTTCCTCTACCTACAACTAAGGAACCTTTATTGAGTATACATTGTTCATCATTAAAAGTGCTACAATAGCCACCATCATCAAGATTACTAGTGAAAATCAAATGCAACCTAATGTCTGGAGCAGGTCTAACATTCTTGAGCTCTAACTTTGTTCTATTTTGAGTCTCTAAATAAATAATATCAGTGCCTATCACCTTCGACACTCCATCATTACCCATCTTTAAAATTCCAAAATTACCTAGAGTATAAGATATGAAGAATTCATTCTTTGATGTAACATGAAAACATGCACCACTGTCAAGAACCTAAATAGTATCATCATAGGCTACATTGATCATATTCTCTTGAGAGCCAAGTCATCATCTGAAGTGGTAGTGGCAACACAATCAATATTGTTGTCATTTCCCTTCTTTTTTGCTTTCCTTTGTCTGCTTTGTTCTCTTTCTTCCATTTATAACAATATTTCTTGATATATCCTATTTTACCATAATAATGACATTCAAGATTCTTGTACCTTGATTTTGATTTGCTCTTGCTCTTGTCTCTATTATGATATTGACCCTTACTTTTACTTCTCTCCCTGTTTTCAGTAACCAAAATTTCTGACTATGAACCAGATGTCCCATGAGTTCTTCTTCTCATATCTTCATTCAAAATGTCAATCCTTGCATATTGCATGGTTACAACACCATCAAGAGCAGAATTAGTCAAATATACATGAAAGTTTTCTCATGAGTCAGGAAGTGTAGTCAACAACTAAAGTCCAATAACATCTTCATCAAATTTGACAGCCATGCCAGATAGTTGATTAAAGATATATTGAAATTCATTTATATGATCAAGTATGGAACTATCTTCTCTATATTGTAAGCGTATAGCTTGTTTAAGCAAGAATAACTTATTGTCTCCAATCTTTGAAGCATATATGGTTTCAAGCTTTTTCCACAAAGTTTTGGTATTTGTTTCATTAGCAATATGATTCAACACATTGCCTTCTACCCATTTTCGAATAAAACCACATACTTGTAAATTCTAAAATTTCCAATCTTCATCGGATTTAGACTCTGACTTTTGAGAAGCAAACACGGGTAAATACAATATTTTCACAACAAGAAGATCCCTCATTTTTCTTTTCCACTTGTAATAATTTGTGTCATCCAAACAATACATTTTACTCACATTCACCTCCATCATTCAAACAGGCAAGCGAAAATCCACAATCAACCAATGAATTAGTGAATCAGGCTCTGATACCACTTGTAGCGAAGTGCTTGAATGAATTTATGAGGAGTGAAAACTAAGTAAAAATTTAGTCAAAATAAATATGATAAAATCTGCCCCAAGATGCTAAAAAAAATTACACAAAGATACCAAAATTTTTAACGTGGAAAACTCCTTTAATATGAAGGATAAAAACCACAGGACCTCTCCTGATCCAAATAAAAAGAGCTCCACTATAAAGTGTTTACAACAACAATAAGCAACCACTATAATCCTCAAATAAATATTCAACAACAACTTAACCGAACACCAATAAATAAACAAAGGAATGGAAAAATATCACCAAAGTAGCTACTGTTCATGCGACACGGATGAGTTCTGATTGTTCAAATCCGATCTCCACTGTTCAGATTAAAGAACAATTTATCCCGAATATGCTCATCGAATTTCAGCCTCATCAGACCACAAATGACCGTCCGATCGTTGGAGAAAGTTAAATTGGTCGTTGTATAAAAGAAAAATGTGAATAGTAACTTCGAACTGAAAGTACTAAAAATTCAATCATCGAAAATCGATCTCCACCATTAAGAAATGAGTCTTCTAAATACTCACCAAATTTCAGCTTGATCCGAATAAAGATCACTATCAGATCGTGAAAAGAAGTAAAATATGTTGGGTGTAATTTTCCAGCAAAAATTTCCTTTTCTATTCACTTTTTATTTTGGTGGCTAAAAACTTATTTTTATACTACTTCTTATGGTTAAAGTAGTATACCAAAAAAAAAAATCATAATAATCCTAATGGGCCAAAAAATAAGTTGGTTCAAAAGTATTTGGGTTTTTCCATATAGAAGGGAACCCAAAACCCAACATTATGAATTTTGTAGCTGACAAAAAAATAAGAAAAGAGAACCTTTTTTTTTGGGTGAAGAGAAGCTGTAATCCAAAAAACAAAAGGATGAAAATTTAAGGGCTTCAAGCATAAAATAGAAGAAGGGATTCGATGAACACTTGTGGGTAAGATTCTTTGTTTCCTTTTGTATTTTTATTTGAATGAGGATGTTGGAATGAGCGTGTTAATTAAGTTCTACATTTTGCTTCTGATTTATGAAAAATGAATGAACATGATCATCCCCATCAATGGTGAAATGATTTTTTTTATATGTTCTGTGGATTAATACTGATTTGGTTGAACAATGGTGATCTAAGTTCTTTCTTCTTAAATCTATTGTGAAATTCGGTCTTAAATATATTTGTTTTGTGATGTTAATGGGGCTATAATTTGATGTGGGAAGGGAGTTGAGTTTTCTTGGTTTTTTACTTGGAGCATGTTTCAAACGAAACACTGTGGAATCGCACATTGGTACTATTGTCTTTTGCTTGTAAAGAGAACTTACTATTGATATTTAAAATTTTAATTAAAAGAATTTTCAGAAAATGCAAAGTTAATTTCAAAACTATGCTTGATAATACAATATCAAAATGTTAAGAAAAATGGGAACTCAAGGCTTAAGTAGATTAAACTTAAGCCTTGAACTATTTGAACTATTTGGACAAACTTTTGTAAAACGATTTAATTAATACTTCGATTTGAATGTTGAACATCATTATCCATTAATTTTGACTATTGTTTTATTCTAATGCTACTTTATATTATTTTTTTTATTTTGATAAATAACATATCATCTTCGAAATTGTTCTCTATAAAAGAATACATTGAACGTAGAAGTTTGGAGGATTCATTCAAATTCAATTTTATTTTCTTTATTCTCTTTTTTCTTCTTATTGTATTTATATACCTCATTCTCCAATTTGATATGTAAATTTTAATTATTAAATTTTAGTTATAAATGAATGTCACAAATACATATTTGGACAATAGACAGATATCTAAAATATGCATGTAAATCACAACTAAAATAATTAGTGTGTACCACATAATAGATGTCTTGCACATTCCTACTCTCTATTATTTCACCTCAAACTTCTTATAAAAAATCAGTGTAATAATTAGTTTTTGGTTCTACTTCAATAATAATTACTTTAATTTTAAATATCCCCAAATGATTAAAAGTTATTTGTTATTTATACCACCCCGATTGTAACAAACACACTATTGCATACGTCAAGCTCTCAACTACACTAGAATATGAAGACTTTTTTAACATCTTGTTTTCCTCTATAGACTTAGAACACATATCAAGATTGAGGCTATTACCTTTAGCAATAAAATCATTAATGGGATTCATTTGCTCGTCTTGAACTATTAAGGAATTATCCTAATGCATAATTTTATGAATAAAGTTAATAATTTCTATAAACAATCTCTCCTGTTTTTATACCAAGTATGCACCTATCTTCTCATGTCTTTCACCTCAAAACTAGAGGTTGCATATTTTTTTATAATTTTAAAATATTTTTTATCTTTGTTAGTTTATATAATGATAAAATTATGAAATTTATCATTAGATTTCTTGATACATACACAATAATTATCACCAAGCGTATTAAAAGTAAACGAGATTACTAATTTTTGAAATCTCAAATATTATTGTCTTAACAATAGTTTGTCAAGTCATAAATTGATTTAAAAATTTCTAGACTATTACAATGTCTTTCAAGAATAAAACATACATGTTGCATGTAATTCTTTTTTTATTTCAATTTTCTATTAAGAAAGGCATAAAGATATAAATTGCTTTGGTGTCACCTTTTATTCTTCGATTTCTCATTTTGTTGTTCAAAAAAATAACAATAAGACATGAGTTTCTTTTGTACTCAATCTTTCTTCTACTATTTTGTAGTTTATTATTTTAAATATTATTATCTCCGAAATTTTTTTCCTATGATATTATTATGTGATGTGCAACTGATTAACGGACGAAAAAAATCTAAAAAGATTCTTGGTACATGAGGATAAAAAAAAATTAGAATTTTTAAAAAGATTTTATAAGATCTTTACTGCAACCGAGAATATTTTGTTCATAAAAAAAAAAAAGACTTTTAATAGTTGAAAACATTGGATGAAAGAAACTTTTGGGAGCTAATTTTACTAAAGTTGGGGCTAAATGAAGGAAAATAAAATTCAAAGAGAAAAAAACTACAAGAAATTAAGAATCTTAAAAAAATTAATCATACATATAGATATAGTGAGCAATATATTAAATAAAAAATAATAATTATCATCAT